CCCTTGAGCCACTGAGCTAAATCCCCAACCCAAGTATCAGGTTTTAAAGGCCCCTGGGCTGCAAGCAGAAGAGCAGAGTAATAAATTAACTCTTCAGGACTAATTTATATGTGTGAGTTTGAGTAAACACAGGAAGGAAAAATGCTCTGGTTTTCAGAAACAATAGTCACTTTTCAAACAACAGTGGGGAATTTAAAGCTTGGAACTGAGCATCAACATAACATCTGAACAAGATTCAGTGAAAGACAAAATTAGCTCCCACCAGAAAGAAGACAGAACAGGAGACTCTGAGGAGCAGGGGCACAAGATTGGGCCCTGCATCTGACAGCTCACTGTGCAGAGGGTGTGGGGCGGAGGGAGGTATGGAAGGGAGCTCAGGACAACCGTGCAGGTGCCCCGGCACCCTTCACCCCATCCCCACCCTACGCGCTTGGTTAGCCATCTGCCACAGCAAGGCTCTGAGAGGATCAGAGCCAACAGGGCCTATGTCCGCAAGGCTCAGCCAAGCGCAGACTGTGGACATCGGAGAAGCAGCTCATCACCCCTGACAATGAAAATTGAGCCTAAGACAGCCAAGTGTGCTCCTGCTCCCACCCACAAAGGTCAGAGCAGCACCTAAAATAATCAGAGCTGGGCGGGCAGCTCAGGGGGTTCAAGAATAGGGCCTGAGACTGCGTGTAGAAACCCACAGGATTTTAACACCCACCAAGGTCAAATTCATGATGTCCAGAATCCCATCAAAAATCACTAGGTACAAACCTTATAGAAAGACAACTCACAATAAATCACATAATGACATGTGAACTACAAAAAATTTCACAAGAAAATCTTCAGAACCCAGGTCTACGAGAATGAATTTACATTCAGTGTCCAAAGTCAACTCATAATTTTTTTTAAAAAATGATGAGCTGGATCTTGTCAAAATTTGACCCTTTTCTTTGTGAGTGAGCCAGTGGGGAAACAGTGCAGGCTGTAGGCTGGGAGATGTCTGTATATCACACCCTACAAAGACATAGAATGAGGTTTCACTTTAAAATACTCGGAAAATCAGTGTAAAACTACATAAACAACCCAGTCAGAAAATGGACAAAAGACAAGAACAGATATGAACCCAAAATATTGGAAAGGAATTCCTTGAAAAGGAGGAAGGTAGCACCAAATGAAACCCTCAAGAACTGCCAAGGGGCTGGGTTTTACCTCCCTGCAGGAAAGCTGTGGCCACCATCTGTTTCACAGGGTCTGCTTGGCTTGGGCTGCAGGGCCCATCGCAAGGGTGGACACCTGGACCTGTCAGCCCACCCATGCAGAGGGGCACCTTCTGGGGGCAGGATCAATGGGCCATGTATCCTTCACCCTGCTTCCCAGCAATGTGGTTCAGAATTTCCAAAAGTGGACCTTTATGTTCCAGGCTTGAGACAAACGAATGTCTCAAGTGTCTTCAGGGAAGAGCATGAGAAGCAGGTGGTTTTTATTCATTTGGTTTCTTTTTAATTATTTCTGGTGGAAAAATGGGACTAATATAGAAAAAAGGCAGCCTAGGATTTTTACCATGCAGGATCAGAATGAAATCAGAATCGGGTTTATCAGTATATATCCCAGTAACAATGGTAATTAGATAGACAGACAGACTGAGGGACAGATAGATATTCTGCAGGTAGACTGACAGATACTGCAATAGATGATAGACAGACAGATAGACAGACAGACAGACAGACATAGACATGTGAGAGACCAACTCTGACTGGCACAGGTCAGCATGAAAAATACACACATCAGCATGTAGGCACCTGATCCCTCTTAGGGCCACCTAGAACCAAACCATCGCACCAACAGACCCACCCAAGTCTTCAGTCTCACTACTAAAAAGACTGAGAGCTCCTGAGAGGAAGAATTGACTCAACACTGGGTGAAGGAGGAGAAGGAAGTGGTCTTTCAACAACCTGTGCAGAATAATCAGGAAACCCCAGGGACCCCAGGAATGCAGCAAAAAGTCACATGGCCAGCTGTGAGCAACAAATGTAAAAATAAATAATGACCATCAGCAGCATTTTCTCATATGAAACAGATATAAAATGTAGGAGTGCAACGCAAATCAGGGTCCTGGATGATAGAAGGGGATGAAAAATGAAATCGTTTAATAAATACAGAAGTGCAACGGCTCTGGAAGACAATGAATGCACCCTCTTAAACTCAGTCTTAAAATAATGGGCAGAAGCTGGACAGGAAGACAATCACATCCCTCTAGTCACCTCTCCACAAATCTGCATTCAGGGTGTGGTCACTTCATACTGAAGTCACTTTCAGAAACCACACCCAGATTTATCACTATTTTATATTTAATACGCTTATAAACAACGTGTTTTGATTTTGTCACCATGAAGTGAAAGTACAGTTGTTATTCAATAGACATTTAAAATTTTAAAAAGAAAAAAAAGAGAGAAATACTACCTAAGCCCGGTATAAGGGTGCAAATCTCTAATCCCAGCACTCAGGAGGCTGAGGCAGGAGGGTCACTGTGAGTTCGAGGCCAGCCTGAACTCCACAGTGTAACTCTGTCTCAAAAAGGCAAGGAAGTAAAATGAAAACAGAAGTCATGCCCATTACCCCTGCTGTGGGGCCATCACTCGCTTCCCATGTGCCCCCATGACAAGAGCTCGGAACCTAAAGTGGTCTCCTGCCAGAAGTACATCCTCTGCCTCCCCAGAGAAAGGAATTTCAGAAAAATGTGAGTCGAGGTACATTCTTGGAAATCATTTTCTATAATCCTCAATGTGTTCCCATCAAAACAAAACAAAACCATCAAAGCGCAGGGCATTTTCTGGGTTAGTGGAAAGCAAAGAGCCAGACCAGTCCAGTTGGAAGCTGAGCCTGGGAAGCAGCTCAGAGCCCTCCGGGCTACCAGCTCCTGGACCCAGACAAGCCACCAGCAGGAGGAGGAGCAGTCCGTGCACTGAGGCTGGGGACAGAGCCCAGGGCCCTTATATCAAGCTTCATCTCTGGCCCTTTTTTAGTCTTTGAGACAGGTTCTTCCTAAATCAATAAATTGTTCAGGCTGGGCTTGAATTGACATCCTCCTGCATCAGTCTCCCGGAGTGTTTGGATTATAGTTGAATTTCCTGATTTTTCGGGTATTTCTAGGTTGTAAATTGCTTGTTCCTAGTAAATACACACTACTGAGCTCTAGTGATCAACTTCCTCTCAAATCATTTAGAACTTACGAGTGCATATGTGCACACTGTATGCAATTGTGTTTGTCCGTGCAAGTACATATGCATACACATGGATGTATGTGTGTACAAAGAGGGGAAAGAGAAGGAAAGAGCAAAATGTGAATCTGATTTTAGGTTTTGATTTCCTTGTGCTGTTTTTCCCTTAACCTATATGTGTTTGCAAACAAGCCTCCCAGTGTGGACCTCCCACCTAAGCAGATGTAGCAGGCTTCTGAAAGGTGCCTTTAGGCCTGCTGTCTGCAGTCTGAACCAGGAATTTGGGAACTATGGAAGATTGAAGACGGCACACATTCTCCCATGTGTATGAAGTGGATGACTCCATAATGTTGGAAGATTAGCTTGGTCTAATATCGCAGACTTGAGCATCCGATCATTGGTGTAGTGGAACCCACACAAAGCCAGACCAGACACTCTGCTATGAGAAAGAAGCTTTATCGGTGGACCAAGACAGCCACCACTGGGCTTGGGGAAAGGGTTTTTAAGGGTTGTTTAGGGGGAGCTCTATGGGTGAGCCAGGTGTGAGCAGCAAAGTGACACAGTCATCTTCAGGTACCCTCCTGGGCAGGGTTGAATTTTGTGGTTGGGAAGTTTCTTTTTTGTAGCCCAAGCATGAACAGGTTGATGCTTTAATCATCTTTTAAGCTCGTGTTTACCAGCTGACCAGTGTGTGGTTTATCCCACATGAACCTGACTCTGGCTGTGTGGTTAAGGTTAGGGTTAACCAGGAAGGCAGACGTAGGAACAGGCACAGGACAGCGTGAAATGGACAGTGAGGGAGCTGCTTTCCAGACCCTGTCAGGCAAGACAGAGCCAGCCCAGCCCTCGGCAGTGAAAGGGAAGCCTGGCGCTCTGAGAGAAATCCAGGAGAGCAGACTGAATGGCTCCTGGAGACTTGGCCCTACCCTTGGGTGAATGGAGCCTTTGACTATTCATGAGTCTTTTCCCGTCTGCCTGGGCAAATCCTGCTCCTTGTCTGGCATGCTGTCCACCCATTCTTTTGATCATCATGTTAACATCTTCTTCCAGCCTCTGGAGTCTCGGGCCTCCTGGGAACTCCCCACACGTGGTGTCCCATGGTGACCCCTGCTCCTGTCCCCACTGCACACTCAGAGTCTGCGTCACACAGGGTCTTGAAAGAATTTTGGCCCAGACAGGACACTGTAGCAGGTGAAGCCATAGAGGCAGAACCAAGGAGCTCCATCTCCCCCACCCCTAGGAATTTACCTATGGCGTCAAACAAAGACTAATGGGCTACCTGTGCATCCCTACTGCCCCCTTAGGTTCCACCCCAAACTGAGGCTACTTATGTGCCTCACTCCACGTGTTCCATGGAGAGATCATGGACCCCGGGGTGGAAATGCCGTGCCCCAGGGGATCGGGGGTGTCTCTCCCCGCATTCTCAAAATAAAAGTCATTTATATTTCATACTTCTTATCTTTTCAGCCGCCGCCGGTCCCCCACAGTTCTATCAGGTCTCTTCTGCAAAGCTCCCTTGTCTCCACCTGCGTCCCTGTCCTCTAGGCCCCACCCTGCCACAGCTTCCAATGCCATCAGGGTGCTGGGCATCTGGAATCTGCACCTCCTCCCAGTCCCGTTCTGAGCTCATGGTCCCGATACTTGCACACTAGGAGGGCCACACCGTCCTTCTGTGTTCTGTTGCAGCAGGAATAGCACACGCAGAGAAGCCCTGTATGCTTGGCTTCTTTCTTTTACAGAGCAATGCAAACCTGGCCACCCAGCCATTACTAGAAGTTTTGTCAATGTATTTATTAGCTTACATTTCCAAGAAAGTTTGCACTTGCAGAAGGTAAACTGCCACCCACACAAAGGCATGCTCTTTGGGTGGCCTGATGGAGGGCTGTGGCTGAGAAACACTGACATCTAGGGACTATTTAACATCTTTCAGGCTCCTAGGAACACTCGCCCTTCCTGAGCTGTGAAGAGGCCATCTCCGCCCTGGCCGCAGGCTGCTTCTGCAAACTTCAGTTCCTGTGCAGATGAATGCTAGCTGCAGGTTCTCGTTCTCTAGCCCCATGATAGACAGAGACCAGACACATGATTTCTTTTGGTATTCTCAGTTTTGTTCTCTAATTGCCAAGAACTTTTAAAATATTTACAAAAAATTTACATGACAAAACAGCCATGTGTTTTATATTTAAACCTATTGTACAAAAGAGTCTCCAGTTGACTCAGGTAGCTGAATCCCTTTTGTCTTTGTTAATCTGCAGAACAGAACCATAATTTGGAATAAACAAACTTACAAAAGAAACAAAATTAGAAAAACATGAAAGCTATTGGTCTTTCCATATATGAAATAGTAATAACTTTGGAGGTTACTTTTCTCCAGAACATTTTCTGTGGCGCAGACCTCGTTATCGCTACAAACTTGAAAGACTAAAGGGAAAAAGACCTGACACCCAGGTGCAGTCATTACACACTAGCTCTCCTTCCAGAGTGCCTGTTTCTTTGAAAATGCCTGCTCCGGGCAAGGTTAATGGTTTCCAGGGGAGTTTTGCACCCAAGTTTACTAGAAATAGAGACTTTTATGAGGACCTAGGAAATGAATTCTCTGTGGGATTAAAGAAAAATCACTTAAGATTTATATATTGTCTTTCCAAATTAAAGGACAAAGAACTTCCTTTCTCCTTGAAAATGAGAAGTAAAAAGTATTTTTTAACCTCACTTTTCCAAAGTGAACAGTGAGGGGCCTCCCTGTTTCTCGCTGTTTGGGGGCACTCTGAGGAGGCACTGAGGAGGTGCCAGGCTTTGCAGGGAGGGAGCACAACACAGAGCATATGCCACAGTCCATCTCTGGTCGCTTGCACGTGGTTTCTACCTGCTGTTTCGCCAGCATGTGTCCCTTTCCTGTGCATACTGCCTGGTGCATTCCAGCCCCAGGGACCTCCCTATGAAGGCTCAGATTTGTGTGGAAAGAGCTACAGTTCTGTGAGTGCCCCACTGCTGAGTTCTGGCTGAGGAAAGACAACAGGCAGTGCAGATGGCGGCACCTCCTTCCCACAGACCTCAGGAGGTGGACCGTCCTCAGGCTCCAGCGAGGGGCTGCTGCCTTGGAGCCAACAGGGGCACTGGACTGCTGTCCACTGTGTCCAGCACTTGCCATGTGGTACAGGACTTGTTGTCCTCTTGTTCCCTAGAGGAGGTGAACAGGGAAAGCAGGAGGCTTGTCAGCAAGTGCTATCACTGTTCAGCCCCTGAGGACTTCGGCTGGGTTCCCACCACAGCACTGCAGGGCTCTCAGGTACCTGCTGGTCCAACCACTGACCTGTGCAGAGACACGGTGGGGCCATGCTTGCTGGGAACTGGTTCCCACAGAACCAGCACTGAAAGCAGAGGCAGGATCGCACCTGCACACAGAGCCACAGGGCCAGCTTTGTGGCTGGAGCCTCCCACAAACCTCCTTGCCAAGGTCCCCAGAGTCCTGCCCAGCTGCTTGGTGGTATTTAGGATGAAGGGAAACTGCTGGGGTATTAATGGTACCACAGGAGCATACCACAAGATGGCTCCAGTCATGTCTTTCCTCAGTGTTGGGGCTGATTCCTCACGGAGAATACAAGGGTGCCAGGTATAGTTCAATTCACAGGATTTCAGTTTCTTTATGTTTGAAGGCATTGTCTACATTTTTTACTTTTTACTGTGTATCTTTGTGTGACTGCCCATTTACCCTTGGTACCCCGGTCCCCTGAATGTGATGGGGTGCAGGTGACTGCATGAAGACCTTTCAATCCATTTTGATGTCTTCTTGCCTCTCTCCTGTGCTGCTGTAAGGGGACACCTGATGCAGGAATCCATGAAGAAGGAGGCCAATTTCTCACAGTCCTGGAGACTGATGTTAGCAATCAGGGCCAACATCTGTCCAGGATGCTCGTGGCAGGTAGTCTCCTCATGATCTGCAAAAGGGGATGAGGCACAGACAGCAGGACGAGGCTCACCACAAGAGGAAGTGGAAACCTGTTCCCAGGATGAAATCCTCATGGCCTCGTCACTCCTGAGTTCCATCTCTCAGCACTGTCACATGGGGGATGCAGTCCTCAACCCTTGGAGTCTGGGAATATTTTTGCAGTGCAACAACGTTCAAGGTAGTGCTGTGATGCACCTGATTTACACACAGCCTTCAACTCCATACATGCTTCAGGCGCTGACAGCCCTCAAAGCCACTTCTGGTACCCAGCAGACCTCTGTAGTGGAGCTACACAAGGTGGAGATGCTGAGGGCTTGAGAAAAAACCTTTGTGAAAGGAAACCTCCTAGACAATTGCCATTGTTCCTCAATCCACGATAGAAAAAATGAAAGATATGAAAAGAAATCCCTAGTTACTATAGCAACAAGGATAGGTTTTTGTCACTGTTATAATCATGCATATTAGAGTTGAGTATTGCATACTATATTTCTATTTTTACATATCCAAATTAAAAACATGCTCTTATTAAAATTTTCTCCTCTGCTTTCATCATGCAGGAGAAATGAAACTACTTTAAAAATTAGAATTAACTTCAAAATTGTCAAAATGAAAAGAAAAGGAGAAATGAGCATGGAGTGTCCTTCAGACATCTGTTTGCACTGGAGCCCTGACCAACTTCACACCTGACCTCAGCGCCCTTCATTCCTGCTGTATATGTCAGGTGCACACAAACCGCAAGCCCTTTGTCCCTACTCCAGGATCTCAGATCCAACTTTGTTACTCAGCTCCAAAGAAAGGGGAATCCACAGTTCAGGTTTCCACGTGAGCTGCACGGCCACGTTCCTGGGCAAGGACCCTGATTGGGCTTCAGAACACCTAGGGGGCTGGAACTGAACAGAAGGAAGGACGGTTCTAGTCCAGAGGTTACAGATTACATCTGAACTTTGCTACCTGAGTGAGGCATTTGTAGGTCTGTTTCCTCAACTGCAAAATTAGGGTAATATCCACAATGGACTCACCATGATGCACAGGAGACTAAATGAGATACTGCACATAAATCTCTCAGCCCTGCCCAGTGCGTTGCCACTGCTTACCAGATGCTGATTAATGTCTACGTTACTCAATCGCTGAGAAACCTTGGGAGTTCTCCTGCCTAAATTAGTACCTCCCCACTAGGTCATAAATCTCCAAGTTTATACAATAGGGATCTTCACATTGTGTATTTTATGGCAAGTTGAAAAAATATCTTGAGGCAAATTTTAAAGATAAGAAGATACTGGCACAAGTTAAATAGCAAAATTAATTATCCCAAGCCTCTGGAAAATGACTAAAATGCACTGTCATAAAAGCCCAAAGAGGGCACAGGTGGGGCGCTCAACGGGACACAAGACATAAAGTTGCACCAACACCTCACCACCTGCACGGTGCTGGCAGAGTAGAAGGGAGCTTGGCATCTGTCCCAGCTGGCACAGACCAGGCATTCAGTGATCTTTACTCTTCCAGACCACAGGGAGACCTGTGCTCGTCCTTTGATGCTGGAGTTCTCAGCACTTACAAAGCAAACGTCCACCCAAGTAGAGGTTTTCTTCTCTACTAATTTGCAAAGTAGGGTTCCCGCCTTGAAAACTAGACTTGAATCTGAAAGGTGCAAACCGCACACTGGAGGAAGGCGCGCTTCGGGTTTTGTCAGGAGCACTACACGCCTCGAAGTTGCGTCCTAAGCGTCTGAGCTGACTTTTCCAAGCACACAGACCCTCTGCAGAGGCGCCTTCCCAAAAGAGCGGAGCAGACGTGCGAGCCCTGGGCCCCACGCACTGAGTCAGGCCTCGTGTGATGAGCTCGCCAGGTCTCGGAGCATTTGTTCTTGGCTGGCCTTTGAAAATCGCATTTGGTTATCCGTGCTTTGTCAACACTGGCCGTCACATTCACACGTCTGAGAACACCGTGGGCAGCCAGCCACATAAGATCAGAAGGACCGCGTCAGCTCCCAACAGTCTTTAAGAGAATGTGCTCCGAAAATGAATTGCACAAGAATGTGACTCTTCCTAGCTAGAACAGGTATCATTGATAACTTCCGCTCAGGAGAAAAAGATTTAGAAACATGGAAATGTCACCCCAAGTACACTTCTGAGGTCAACGCACCACATTCATGGTTTCCTGTAGGGGGAGCGCCCCAGACCTGCGCCACAGTCCACTTCTGGTCCTGCGCGGTGCCAAGTGGGCTGCGCAAGCACATGGAGCCCGGTTCCTGCGCACAGCCGCTCCCCAGCAGCGCCATGACTGTGGCCCCCGCGTACCCACCGTGCTTGCAAGGAATTTAGGCCATAGGCTGCTCAGAATCACGCACACCCAGCCGCTCTGGTGTGTGGAAAGGCGTTCTTCTGTGAAGCCAGGCCTGGGGGTTCTGGAGAACCCGGAAACCAAACGTCATTAACACACAAAACCATACCCCCGTCGCCAGCTGGCCTCACATTATTGTGTAACTGATTTTTGAGCTGAGAATTATGGAAGTTTCTAACACCAAAGAACTCATTCTTTTCAAGAGTACAAATAGATGACATCAAGCTAGCTTGTATCAAAAGCATACTTATTAAAATTAAGAGACCGGTGTTTGTGAGGAAATCATCAGTGTGTGCACACTTCAAATCATTCCATTAATTTTACTTTGTGGATAAAAACATCCACAGCCTGGGAGGTATCGGGATTAGGCTGGCAGTAGAATGATCTTTTCTGTTCCATCATGGCAAACCAGCCTGAGATGGATGCAAAGGTGCTCTGTCTGATTGTGAGAACCTGCACACTTGTGATCTTCAACAGACATGGTTCCTGCAAAGAAGCCATCTAGTCAGCAAGCCTTCCAACAGCCAGGCCCTCTAGCAGCTTCACTGCATGAAGACTTCAGCTTCCTACAGGGCCAAAAGTTCTTTTTGTCCATTTTACATAAAAAGCCCATTACTGAAAGCATTAAGTTGAAATTCTTTACTCCAGGCAAGGAACTTATTCAATTGTACTTTTGCATACTTCTTGTGACTGATTGCAGATGGCTACAAATCTCTAACACATCTCACTCTATGAAAAGCAATTCAATTTTCCTCTCCTTGAGCTGGTCTCCTTGGTGTCTGATCTTAGTGATTTTTCTTGGCTAACTGATTGTGGCAGACAGGACTGCCAAGGCTGGGCCTTCCCTCCAGATCAACCTCCAGGGACTATAGTATTTCTGAAGGCTTCTGCTCTGTGAAGGCCCAAAGTCCCGACTCAAAGGTGCAGACACCAGGCGTGTGGGTGAGGAGGCCTCCTGAGCTGTGAACAGATACAAAGGGAAAAGGGGAATCAGTGAAAAGCCCAGGGTCTCCCTACCAAGGGTCCTGGGACTCACACCATGCGGCCGCCTGCCTTCTGATTGCTGAGGCCCCTGACCCTGCTTCCAGTGAGGCTGTCCAGTAGAGAAGCAGGACACTGGCCCTCTCCAGGCATTTCCTCTTCATCCTGCCAAAGGCAGCATTCACACACCTCCTGTTCTCTGCAGCCAGCCTTTTCTAGCTGTGACTTTTTGTCTAATAAACACTTACCCCTTCTTTTCTACTGTGACGGAGGCTTCAATGTAAGATTGAGTGTCTTTATAGGTTAGACTATATTAGTGAAATGTCACAATTTCTTTCAGGTCAAAAGACCAAACTGTCAAAAGTTTTACAGATAGAACATAATTCAAGCTGAAAGATGCATTCCTGGTCACAATCAATGAGAATGTCTGCATCTTCAGGAGTTTTGTTTTGTTTTGTTTCCTTTTTGCTTTGCTTTGCTTTGACAGGGTCTCACTATACCGCCCAGGTGGCCCTCGCCGCAGCCTGGGGTGGCAGGTGTGTGCCAGCATGCCTAGCTGAGCTGCCTCTCAGTTAATCAATGTGCCTTCATGTACTTATTAAGAGGTTAATTGTGTCTTGTCTTTTCTCGAGTTCCTTTCCTATAGGCCATCATCTCAGGATGCTACTCCTTAGTAGTGGGCCGCAGTCTTTAAAGCAGTGAGGGACACAGAGTGAAAAGGGCAGGGCAGCCGCGCAAACCCCTCTTCCCACAGGGTCTGCAGCCACATGCGGTTCATCAGGACAAAGGCTTCTGTGGGGCAGAACTGGAGTGCGCATGCCAGCAACAGAGAGATTTCGGTGAGACTGCAAACTCTGGAACACTATTTGGGTTAAAACAGGCCAATTGAAGATCTGAACCAGGATTCTATTTCTGTCTAATCCAGGATCTTTAAAGATTGGAAATGTGTTGTAAATGCATACATCAGTAATCATATTAATAGGTCAGTTTTACATAAACCAATGCTCAGTTTAAACAAAATTTACATAGTATTTTAGAATAAAATATCAATGAAGTTTGGAAAGGGAAACAACAAAATAACAAACCTCAGTATTTAGGTGTAGCAAGCTCGCCATCTACTGAGCACTAAATTTTCTTTTTACCAGAAAAGCAAATTTTGAATGTGACTAGGGCTGCGTGAAAACTAATGATGTTGATATTTTAAAGCAAAGGCACTTACCAAGAGAGCTCTGGTGCCCGAGCCCTAGGTGAGCCCAGAGGAAGAGCTCTGGGGAGGGCGGAGTAGCAGTTACTGCACAAGCGCCAGTGTCAGCCCTGCAGGGGGCACACAAAGCCACCCATGTGTCACTGAAGGAGAGCAAGAAGTGTCCGCCCCCCGAGTGAGGTAGGTGCAAGCCGGTAGCGTTTCTAAGGTTTCTTTTGCCTTTTTGTGCTCGGTTTATCTCACTTTGTGCAGGGTCCCCCCGGCCCATCCATGCCCACAGAGATGCACTTGAAAACTGCTAAGCGCAGATTTTTAATGTTTTCACCATAAAAAAAAATACTTCAGGAAGTGGGTTATGTTTATCCTTTTGATTTAGTGTTGTATAACGGACACAAACCAGAACATCATGTTGTACCAGAAATAACAATGTTTGTCAATTAAAAGCTAAGTATTTTAAAGGCATTTGATCGCTTAGCACTCATCTGACTTTCACGTTTCCTAAGCAGTCAGACTGTCTCTTGATTCAGAAGACAATTGCCCGCGTCCTGGAGCACTGATCCCAAGAGCGGGGGAAGCAGCCGGCCTGCCTGCACCATCAGCTGTGCGCTCCTTCTGTTGACCCTGCGTGACACCCCAGCAGCTCCTGCTTCAGGCACCAGGCCCTCAAGGGTATTTCAGATCAGCATCTGAAGCCCTGGTCCTACTATGTGAATACCGCCTTTGTGATATGGTAAGACACTCTGAGCCGACTGTCTCCTGTGGGGTCGCCTGTGTGCGCTCTACCCAGGGCCACAGCATCCCGATTAACTGCTCCTACATGAACTCGTCTGCGCATGGGCGCACACAGACTGGCGCTCCATCTCCATCTCTGGATCTATCACAGTATACCAGGATGGGGACCGGTATCTGACCCTCCAACAAGGGTGAAGAAGTCGGTCTAGACGTTTAAATTTTTGTTAATTTTCAGCCACGTATTAAAGCAATAATGGCCTTTTGCTTTTTTTTTTTTTTTTTTTTCAGCTGTCAATGGTGAAAAACAATATTTATTTTAAGGAGAAAAAAAAATTTCAAAACAGGCTAGTGGGAAAACAACAAAAATTCATACATGGCGTATTGTTATCTTCATAGTAGATGGGGGAAGGAAAAGAGATATATCACATACACACACACACACACACACACACACACACACACACACACATACCGTAGCCCTTTAAAGGTGTGTAGGAGTGCGGATGGAATGCTTTGTATTTAATTCGTATTTTAGAAATTTTCTTGAATCAATTTGAATAACTGCTGTCCTTGAATGCTGATATTTTCTTTTTCTCACATTAGTCTGATGAACATGTTACACTGTACTCACAAGTACACAGGTCCTATAAGAGAGTACCAAGCATTAGCACCACCCTTATCCACTCCAGCAAAGCACGAACTGACAGCTGAAAATGCCCTTTGTCAGCTCACAGCTCTGGGCCGGAACTCGGGGCCTGGATGGGTCCTGTCCAGTGAGCCCCAAGGCTCAAATCAGGGGTTGGGAATTGGCTGTCAGCCAGACCATCTGGAGACACCGCCGACTGTGCTATGGCCATGTTGGACCCAGTTCGGTCTTGCTGGCTGCCCAGTGGGGGCACCCCCGCCATCAGCCTCCCCAGGCCTCTGACTGACCCTGGGAGTCTGCACACCCACCTGCTTCAGTGAGGTGTTTGTGGCTGCACATAGCCTTCCAGTGGATGCTGCCCAGCATGGCCAGCCCAGAAGAGTGTGGGCCAGGGGTCCTTCTCGCTCTTTTTACTGTGTATTTTGCTCTGTAGACTGATTCTCCACATTCCAAAAATTTATCTAAAAAATAAAAGAAGAAAAATGTCTCAAATCATTTTTAAGGTAATCGTGATCTTGGTAACCCAAACAGCCAAGCAAAGCACAAGTGACGGTGATTAAGCAGTTTCTTTTATGAATGCTTTCTTAGGTAGAAAACACCTGACATGAATTCAGTAGCACTTGTAAAATATGCCCGGCCAGGTTTACATCAAGTATGCAAGAATAATTCTGCATCAGCATACCTGGTAACATGACTCCCCACTTAATTTACCAAACAGTAGAAGCCAGATAATCATTTCTCCAAAAGCACAAGAATATTCAGTAATATCTAGTGGTCATTCATAATGGAAGTATTTCTAGCTATGAACAAAAGTGATAAAAGAAATCAACAAATCATCAAGCTGAGGAAGAACCCACAAAGACCCTGCAGCTCACCTGTGCAGCTGGGGTGGGAGCCATCAGCTAGGAAAGAATGAGGACCATCATCCGCCAGAGCTGAGCAACAGGAAGCACAGACTCCTCCGCACCTGGGGACACTCGTATGGCTTTACTCTGCAGGCACAGACCATCACAGAGTCAGGGCACATCCTCCTTAGAGGAGTGCTATGCCTGTTCCTCTTGTGCAGGACACCTCCATCTTCTCTGCAAGTTTATTGGGAAAAGGACATCAGTTTTGTGGAAGAAGGGACTACACATGCTGCTCATAGCTCTGGAAAACAAGGAATACTCCAAAGGCTGGGAAATGCTGACGGCCACTGCCTGGAAGGTTCCCAAAATCTCCAGGCAAGCAGAGTGACCCACAAGGCCTTGGAGATGGCCTCCTGTTGGAAGTGACCCACGGTAAAGAGGAGCACCTCTGGGAAGGTTCGAGGCGAGTCACTCCCTGTGTCCTTGCTTTTCCACTGCTGGCCTTTGGCTGATGGGCAGAGTGCCAGCTATGAGCTCAGCATTTCATGCCACCCTGCCGCATGGAAAGCAGCAGGTAGAAATGTCATCGCCATCAGCAAAACAAGAAGGAATGCCTGGGAGCGCATCAGACGATGGAGACCTTCATGCAGAAATCGTGAAGATATGTGCTGAAGAAACACAAGTAAATGAGATGAAGAACTGGACTTTTTTTTTCAAATTTCATTTATAAAATCAGTTAATGTCTGTTTCAGGTGAAGCATTTGTGGGCTTTGAAAAGCTACATGAAGAAATCCAGAGACAAGTGCAGCTCATATGATTTCATGAGAGCAGACTGTGAATAAGAGAGGCCTTTAGCAGGTGCCAGCTGTGATAGGTAAACTAGAGTGGACAGGACCATGTGGCCTCAGGTTCTCCCTCTGGGCCGGCAGCTGGGCACCTGGGCACTGTGGCCTCCATGCCTGGTGCTCCTGGGCAGCTCCATCCACAGCACCTGGGGCCACTGAGCTCCTGGCTTGATTCAGCCAGGGATTTGAGGAAATCATCCAACTGCCACTGACCAGCTCCTCTGGAAATGGGAAGGCAGTGCCAGTATTTCCTTTACTCATATTTTGGATTCTACACAACAAAGACTGAGCATAATCCCTGAAATTCAAGTGCCCCTGAAGATCGTCTCAGTTTCTTTCTCCTATAAGTGATGAGGCACAGCTATGCTGGCTGTGCTGAATCCCACGGGACGTGGCTACACACTCACAGTGCTGTTAGTTCAGCTGCTATATGCTCCCTCCTCCCTCCCTGATCCCAGCCATGGCATTTCCTCTTGTTACCTTCCTTATAGCTAAGGCCCAGCCCCAGTGAATCCCTACTGCCTTCACTCACTCTGTAACCCAGGGGTTAGGATGGTAAAAGTCAGTGACACATTTCCCAGTGGCTTAATGCTGAAGAGGTCAGGAAAATGCAGCACACTGGTGAATTACGTGTTACCCTAATAACAAGCACTGCACACCCAGGTGCACATTTAGAGAACATAGTGCAATTGTTCCCACCTTTAGTAGCACACGTGCTATGTTAATAGGGGGCCGAACTCTTGGTGTATGTGGATTACACCAGACTTGGTGGAGTGGGCTATTTTTTGCACACTTCTAGGCAGTGCCACTTGCATGTGGAAACTTGATAGAATCACTTTCTGGTGGTTAGATGTTTCAGGCAGAGAAGGCTCTCTTTTACACAAAAGCAGATCTTATCCTAGGAGCTTCAGACAAAAACACTGAACTCCTCTTTGATTGTCTCTCTCCCACCCTGCTTGTCCCCATCAGCATCTCTGCATCCTGGCCATTGTGAATAAGCATGCCCGGGAATGGAGGGTGACCGTGTCTGTCAAGATCCTGATTTCCATCCCTACCATGTGTTCACTACTAGCAGTAGTGAGTTAAGCTGTTACCAGGGAGGCACTTCCATAGCAATGCACAGAAAAAAATAGAGAGCCCTGACTTCAGGGCTTCACACTAATGAAGGACAAACAAGTTCTGGATCTGATTTTCTCCTTATCATAGTTAAACCCAAAGAAGAAAATGACAACAGACTGGGGACTAAGGAAAATCAGGGTGATGGACTGCCAACTCACGCATGGATGACAGAAAAGCCAGAAAAAATGCCTGCTCCTCTCATTTGCTAAGTGGGGTGTTCTTTCCCCACAGGGGCTTTTTTGTCAGTGTGGTAATAAAAATATCATGCCCAAACTCCAGACTATAAAAACTCACAATAGGGAAAACATAACTAATCAATTTGATTATTTATTTCTTATTTCTCCAGGACTACAAAACAAAAGAAAAATGGAATTGGAATCAAAGGCCAAAACCACAGAAACATGAAATGCAAACTAGGAATCAAATCAAGCCCATCTTCCCTGTATCCAGCTCATCAGATTAAGGTTCTGAAATTCCAAGAAATCTCAGATGTCATAAAATTGCTAAACATTAAGTTCTTACGTAAATCAACTTAGTCATCATGGCAACGTTTTTAGTTGCTCACAGTTACCTTCATTTCATAAAAGAAGAAACTGTCCAAGACGTTGGCAAGAGTCCCTGAGACCCCAAGGCTGCGAGGTGGGGGCCAAGTGGTACCCAAGAAAAGCAGCCCTGAGTCTGCGCCTGCTTCCTGTTAGAGACAGCACAGTGCACGTGGCCTCCTGAGCATCCCCAACAGGGTGGAGCTGGCCGCACTCATCAGCAGTGACCAGGCTCTTAGCACACATCATACACTGCCCCGGCTCACAGAGCTGAGCACATAACCCACGGGTATTAAGAAAATAGTGTAAATCTTCACACCTATCTTTCTAAAACAAAATGCACTCCGTTTCTTGCTTAGATTTGAGAATCTAAACAAAGACAAAATGTCCAGCAAACTGGACTAAAGTCTCATATGGATTAAAATGCACACCTACATAGCAGGAAAAATGAAAAACTGTTTGTCAAAGTGAACTCTACCTCCTCGACTATTGCCCCTCCTCAGTAGAAAGGGGAGAGTGGCTCTGCAAGGGGCTTGGCCTTTGGAGGGCAGGGACCAAGTTTCCGGCTGAAGCAGCTCCTCAAGTGGAAGATTCTCACAGAGCCCACAGTCTGCATCTTCTTGAAAGCATAAGTCTCACTCCCTGGAAAGCACCCGATCAGCTCACAGGAGGGCAAAGGCAAGGAATTCCATCATGTTGGAGACCACTACCAAGCCGCTCTGAGCAGGATTTAAATTTTACTAATTGGCTTTCTCTGTTTATCTGTGAGTCTGTCCTAGGCCTTGGCCCCTTGCCTGGGGACAGGAGCTGATTCACAGTAAGTGAACCTGTGTGAATCACTGGTCCTGGCTGAGGCCTGTAGTAGCTTGTGAGGCCAGAGATATCTCAAAGGGCAGGACAAGGTCACAGCTGGGGACACTCTGACTCCAACCCCAACTAACTAGGTTGAGACTGTAGCTGCAAAGATTACTCCTACAGTCTCACTTCTACCATGTCTTCATGATAAGACAGTGCTACCGAATTGACTTGACTTGGAGACGTCCTTGAAGTGACTCCAAGGTCCTGCTTATTGCCTGCACTTTCCTCAGTCTCTCTGCCCTTTATCCTTGGTCCTAATATAAGTGGACTGATCCAGAGAATCCTTTTTCTTAGCTTAATTAAAGGGTTTTAACCATCCTGGAGCCCTAAAAATCATACAATTTGTCTCTTTTTATTTGACCTCTGCCATACATTGATTTGGGAGATCAAGGATCTAGGACAGAACCCGATACTTCAGCAGCACCATCGTGAGCATGGTTTCTCCAGGTGCAAAACTGCCTGGATCAGTATCCGGGCCTCACTTGCCACCGTGATATCAGACAATGGGACACCCTAAGCCCACAGGACCCCCTCACAGAATGGTCCCCATGCTCTCTGACCCTCAAGGGCCAGCATCCCCTGAGAAACCCCCTGATCCTCCCACAGGGTCCTGACCATCCCAGACATCTCCTGAGACACAATCAAGCACCATGGGAGCCTCGTTAGGTAGAAAATGATGCCCACACCTAAGAAAACAGACCTTGAACCCAACCACGCCCACAAGAATCTCTCAGTTCCTGCTCATCCATCTCTTGATATCTCCCTGCTTCACGACCTGCATCAGTCCATGTCTACTACAGAAGCAGACATAACACAAGACATACAAATGCACGACACTGCACGACTGGCTCACAGTACCATCCACGGAGGTGGGTAAGGGACCGTGCAGAGGGCATTTGAACACCAGAGTCTGAAGATCCAGTCAAAGCCCTGGAGCTCACTGCACAGGGTTCAGGCAAGGAGCTGCCCTGGGTGGATGTGGGTCCCCCACCCCTGCAGTGTGGGAGTGCTGTGTTGAGTTAGTTGAGCCCCAGTGGCTCCCCCATCGCGCTTCCCTCCAAAGATGCGCCCCACATGCTGGTCGCACACAGGCAGAAGAGGATGCAGCTCTCCCCACCTTCCAGGGTCAAAATGGAGACGTGCTCCTTCACAACTGAGGTGGCTGTCATGTGGATGTAACTTTTGTCACAGTGAATCCCACCTGACCCTTGATGAGAGTGTGTTTAAAGGTGAAGTTAGAAATTGGTGATTATAAAAGTTTTGGGACTGAAACGCCTATCTATCAGATAAGAAAGTTTCTCTTCTCTCCCTCTCTTTATTTTTAAAAACAGCTCCTCAACAAATTATGGAAAAAAAATACCCTGAAGAGTCTGACTTTTTTGACAGTAGTTTAGAAACCTCTAAAGCCATCAAACCCACACCCTCTTTGGTTAAAAGTGGGCCTCTCTGGCCACTTTCTTCCTGCCACCCATTCCTGTTTACAAACCTCTCAGGGAGCCCAGCGCCACTATGTACCCCACCTGCTGACCACACCTGAGCCAGAGGGTGTCCCTCAGATGGCCTGCAGCTCCTGCTGCTCATCCAGTGCCAGAAAAGAGGCGAGTGTGAGCTCTCTGCTGCGGGTCTCCATTTGCCTCATCACTGTCACCGTGTCCTCTGTCTGCATTCTGTACTGCCATTCCAGCTCATTTGATCTATGGGTTTCTTTGCCCTCTCTCACCCTAGGAGAAGTCACTGAGTCTTGGGGACTTGGTTGATCTGGGGATGCACGTACGGGGGGCACAACACGTATACCATCTCCCTTCCCCTCTGCCACACTCACCTGAAGCTGCCCCAGCCACCCCCTCCTGTGCCCTCTCTGCCAGTCCTGCCAGTCTTCTGCATATGGTTTCACCTCCAAACAATTGTGGTTAAACCCTTGGGGTCTCTTTCCAGTTTTCTAGGTGCCAGAAGAGGATCCAAGGAGCATGCAGGAATGAAGAGACAGAGAAGTCATCTTGCAGTTCTTTTTAGGGTCAGCAGGGCAGGCTGGCTGGTGCACAGGTGCAGTCAGTTGTTCTGAAACACATAGGCAGTGATGTCCTGCTGCGTGGATATAATATATATCTTAACTGCATCTCAGGCTGACAACGTTATTTCTGCAATGGTGGAAGTAAGCATACAAACACTTGGTTCAACTTCCCAGCACAGTGGGTCTGGGGAGGGTGATGACTGAAATTTCTTTTGCTCCTTGAAAGTTTGAAATGCACTGTCCCAAATTGGAAAGTAGGTCTGGTCTTCAGCTGGCCACCACCTGCTCCATGTTAGTCCTGAGCCAGCTCCATTTTGCCGGGAGTGCTGGTGGAGGGCCTCCCTGCAAGTGTTTGGGAGGAACACAGGGTCTCTTTCTGGGGTTCTGTTTAGCTTCTGCAGGAAATGCATCTGGCCAAATAGCACACACACCTGTCAGCTCTGCTGCAACAGCCGAGTCACAAAACCTAACAACAAACTCTGAAACAAGCACAAGAAGTAAATGGGACCATTCCTCTCACTTCAGAGCCAGGCACCTAGGCTCCAAGGTGGACGCTTTGGCTAAGGACATGCAGTGGGTCTTTGAATGCTATGGGTGCTCGGGTGAACCAGCTCCTTGACCAACCACACGGGCCCTGATGAGCAGAGTGAGCTGTCTACCTTCCCCTCAGCATACTACAGGGGCCTGGTGCACACACAGTGCACACTGCCACGGGGACCCTGACTGTCCACCATGCGTCTCTGGCTGCATAGGGCTGAGGTGACTCGCAGGGTGCTGAGCTGTGTGAGACCCTGTGTGGGCTACTTGGTAACCCTGGGCGTCAGCACTGGCTCTGCTGAGGGGCAGCTGGGGCCAGCAGCAGCAGGACCCATTAACACATTCTTCAGATTTACTGCAAAGTGGTCCTAACAGGAAAACTTGAAGTCACCATCATTGCACAAAGCACTGTCACACACACACACACACACACACACACACACACACACACACGGCACAATTCCCACACAAGCTGGGGCTTCTCCCACTGTGATGATGGCCTGGTCTGTCCTCCTCTTTGAGCGCACACACTGGCCACCATGTGTCCTCATGAGGAAACTCAGCACCACTTTTGTTTGGAAGACTCAGGAGAGTCTTTCCTCTGGAAAGCCTGATTCTCAGCCTATGATTAGATGCTTGAAAGAAAACACAAATAAATCACCAAGCAATGACTCCGGTTAAAATGATGCAACTTCATGTTCATATTTTCCACCCATTTAGGAAAAAGTATGGAATTTAATATACCCATTCTTGGGTTAAGTTCAGAGACACAGCGTCCTTCCCAGGTTCTGCATCACTGCTCAGGCTGCTTTTTGCAGTCAAAACACTCTTCATTTTCCCCAAAATTATGCTTGGAAGTTTAAGTTTCCAAGTATATCATCTAGATAAGAATTTTCACTTTTGATACTTGCATATATTCTTCATAATCTATATATGGTGTTTTCAATAATAAGAAATCTACTTATAATCTGCCTCTGATGTTATTTGAGAATGAATTTTTATAAGGAATTACTTGT